TTTTACTTGAGTACATTTTTGCCTGTGTATTTGTACTTTTACTTAAGTAAATTTTTTGAGTACTTTCTCCACCACTGAACCCTTAAATAACTCAGACCGGACACTTGTTCCTGGTTTTGTCCTGCCCAGTCACAAATGTGTACAGATGGTTTTATATTGCAGATTGAACTCAGTCCAGAACCAGGTTGAAATAAATAAAGAGAATCATTACCTTGACAAAGCAAAGTGACCGCCGTTCATGGAGCCAAAACAGGACAAGGCCACAAACACCGGGACAACAACTGAAAAGTTTCCTAATAGCCTCTCTGCAAATGTCTAAAGAATGTAAATGAGAAAAGGGATAGAAATAAGAAAGTAGGATATGTGCTGGTTCAGAGTTCAGGCAGTGATTAAAGTGTAGATAATGACATTAGGTCAAGTGGTTGATGTCTTAATTAAAACATATTTCTTATTGTGCTGAACTATGTAAAAAGGTTGTAAGTGTTAAAGTGAAACTACAGGATGTAATCCTTCCACCTTGACATGCCCAGGGTAGAAAAAACAGCTGTTATCTAAAGGTTTTCAAGATAATCCAAAGACTTTTCCAGGTACATAAATGTTGTGCTTTGAGTACTCAGTCATTTTAGATATATTCAAATCATTAATATATCTAAAATGACTAGTTATGTGATTAACTAAAGAAATCAACTGAAACAATTCACATATATTTCACGAGTTTCAAAGGTCACATCAGATTTGTGTGAATTTATGGTCATGACTGCAGACTGTTACTTTTTTTAGTCTTATCTTATTAAATGTGGTTAATTAGACTGAATTTAGAGGACTGAAAGGACTGCTGCCAGTAATTGTCATAAATGGGTCATGCAGAAGTGGGAGACAAAGCTAATTATTATTCATGAAGCTATTAAATTTATATTAGCCACAGACATTGCTGGCATGGGTGAATATAGTCAGTAAAGGGGAAAAATCTGAATTAACTAAATACATGTACAGTTGTCATTTTAAACTAAAGTAATGATTCATTTTAAATGGAAAAAAGAGAAATGTTAGTTTGCACACGACCGAGGAATCCAAACCAAGATGACGTTCATATCTTCAAAGATTTGACCACTTCCATCTTTTTGATCAGTTCCATCTTCATCAGCTTGGTGCCTGTTGTTCTATTTAGCATGTTTTCAGAATCTCTGGTGACTTCTTTATTTAAAGTGACAAGAGACAAATCTAGTAGCTTTTCCTGAGGTCATTGGAACTTTGTGGCTCAAACTCTGCTCAACGATCAGCAGATTCTTGACCATGCTGGTGATACAGCAGCCACAGCTGACTAACATGATATTTGTAATTGTGAATACTGACATTGGATTAAAACCACAAATCAACTAAACTTAAAACTAATAACCTTTTTTTTTATCCAAAAGTTTTTTACAGATCAACACAGAATAGGGATATTCACTCAATCATCGTTGCTTCCATACCATCCATTAGACTTCAATTCATTTACAGATAAACAATTATGCTAATTAGCTGACAATATCAATTAGTGACTCCTGTGACTTTTAAAAGTTTTGAAATATTTTGTTTATAAAACCAGAGAACCACAAACATAGATCATCCAAGGACAGAATGTGCTCTGTTCAAATGTCATTCAGACCAGGGTAATGTTTTATCATTGTAATCCTCTACAATTTTCTCTGATCGTTAGCTGTAAATATGAAACTTTATTCCTAATGGGTACTTAATGCTTAATTGCGTAAGATGCAAAATTAAAAGGACCTTTAAATAATCCATGTCCTCTCTCTATTCATTGCTTTCCACACCAGATAATACAAGCACACATCCTGTTAAGGTCATCTAAAATTACTCATTACGCAATGCTGCAAGCTTCTTTTACATAAGTCTGACACATGAGTTAAATCTTAAATTAAGTTTTCAATGTAAACTTCTGCCCACTGTCTAATGGAGGAAGAACAGACTGCAATCCTTTTATCATATCAACCTTCTAAGAACACAGAAATACTCTTAACACCTTTCTTAAGGCGCTCTTAACACTCATTGTGCTCAAGGTAATAAAGCTAACCACATTACAAAAAGGCAGGGATCTCTTAGTGGATCTGTGAGCCCTTAAAGCTGAGGAAGACTCAATCACTGATAGCATCCTGCAGCCTAATAAGGAACTGTGGCTGTTATTGGGGAATGTCTGAGATGTGATTAGCATTACCAGGGTTGGGCTGAAGCAATTGCATTAGAGGGGAAGCAAAGTCGTCAGAAATGCTTCACTAATAATGAGATGCTAAGTGCAGGAACTGCAGCATATAGGTTCAGACTTAACTGTCTGATAGGAGAACAAAGGACTTTCTGCTGACATGTATATCTTATTCTATTGTTTTAAAAGACTTTAGTTCATTTCTTGAATTATTAATATTTTATTTTTCATATTTTATTATAGCAAATTATCCAAACCAAAAAATTTTTGTCACCATTTGTGATCATATTACCACACAATTATGTATCAAAGACAAACTTTCAAATATATTAGCACTCCCTGACTTTCTGGTAAATGTCCACCAGGTTAAATTAGTTTTCATTATTTAAGCCCAAATATCTTCCCTCCTTCAAATCCTTACCAGAATATTTCCCAAGTAGAGATCACTACAGGAATGATGCTCTGTGATGACTCCAAAGGTCGAGCTGACTGCATATGATGTTTATTAATCTACGTTTTATTTTTAGCATACATGTGCAGTTGATTTGAAGTGATATATTTCCTTTGATTTCCAGCAGGTAGATATTGATATGACAGATTTTGATCATAATCTGGCAGGTAAACACCGACTGGGTTTAATTAGCTCAGAGATCTTTCATATTCCCACATAGGCTGGGTTACCAACAGGGCAACCATCAGCCCTGTGATTGAAGTCTGAGATCTTTGCAGGCTCTGAATCCCTTGGTTAAACTAACATTATTTTTTGGTCAATAATTTAATAATTGCAGATTCTTCAGAAAGATATTCCTCTAATTTTATGCTGAAAACCTCCATCATAAAGCCCTGAATCTCAGAGTAGCCTTCTGGATTGCCTTGTTCTTTGGCAAACTACTTTTTATCTACTTTTATTTACTTTCATTTACTGTTTACTTTAAAAATAGTAAACAGATTTTACTGCTTTTACTTTCATGAAATTTATTTTTCATAAAAATAAATTGTATTTTACTTTTATGAAAGTAAAATACAACTTTCATAAAAACGTCATATTTAACAGCTAGATATTTTGACTTTGTTAAACATACTTTAACACACTTTTTAACTATTATTGTTAATTATGGAATTATCTTATAATTCACATTTCTACAACAACGCTGATCTATGGTCATTTAGTGGCCTTCAAAAATGCTGAAGGAGTTGAAACGGAGTGCTTTCTGTGTTTCTGTTGCTGTGTTCTTACCACAGCAACAGCCTCTGAGGCTAGGAGTTCCTCTGCTGACATCACAGTGTAGTACGCGACGTTGGTCAACACATAGCAGGAGGTCACAATTGCCATGGAGATAGAAATGGCCAATGGAACGGTCCTGAGAGCAGAGAGATGATTATGATGAGCATCTCTGTGACCTGCTCCTCTCTCCTGTCTCTGTTTTTAGTAATTAGCTAGTAACACAAAGTCGAAAGGGACTTTATCATGTAAATTAGACATTTTAAGTCTAATATTAGAGTTTTACGTCATGTTAATATTATATTATATACACAATTATACATACAATCATGAATTTCCAGTCTTTGAACAACAATTTTAATTAAGTAGTTTTTATAAGCACATTTAAATAAAAAAATATGATGGTTCAGAAAGATTTCAGTTTTATTTACAAACAAAATTATGTTTTGGCTGCTGTTTAAGAAATTACAAAATATTCTTAGATTTATTAAGTTAACTTAAGTAGTATTGACTAAAATTACACAAATTGCTGTTAACTAATCAGTTGATTCATTAAAAACTTCATTTTTTGAGGCAATGAGTTTGAATTTTTGAAGTAAGGAGAACTAATTTGATGATACTTTTCTAAGTGCCAGTTTAAGAGCTATGACTCAATCGTTTAAATAAATACGACCAGCTGGGTCAGACTGAACAGAACTTCAGCAGATAACTGATCCTTTACCTGCCTTCGGCTCCAGTCACCAGCAGGCCACAGAGAAGTCGGCTCCCTCTGAGCTGATTGTTCTGAACAGCGCCCAGACGAGGCACACTGATAATGAAGTGTGTCAGTGGAGTATTTAGAACACCCACCAATTGTGTCATAGTATGGATTATCTGTATCTATTTAGGGAAGGAAGTAACTATGGAACTAACGAACCATGTCTGTCTTGTTTGACTTCATTCTAAGGTAACTAAGACCTGATTAAAACATTATCTTGTTTGAGCATGTGCCAACTTCCTTGATACTTTAAAAGAAATCCAGAGAGGAATCAGCTGGAACAATTAAAGGATGGACCATAACATTTTGCAGCACACTAATTTGATTTGACTTAAATTTGTTGCTAGTTTTTTTAAGCTTTTGCCAAAGCTAATTGGAGGTGTAAAACCGATATATAAAAATGAATAAAACATAAAAATGAACTTGCTTTTTCTACTTTAGACCACAGTGACTGATTTGATCACCTCATTAGTGTGGTTATGTCAACTTTACTATCTACCATGCTTCATTTTATTTTTTCATTTTTCTAATAAAGACAACAGTAGACAGAATGAGAGCAGTGCTACACAGGGGTGTACAGTATGTAGAACATGCAGGTAGTTCTGTGGCAGTACTCACTGTGTCCAGACGTCACTTTCCAGTTAGGTTAGATGAATGTTCTCAGAATACACTGACACAGTTTCACTAAAATGGAAAACACACTGTGCAGTCCCTTCAGTGGTTAACAGTCTGTTTTCAAGTTCTCCGTGTGTTTATTGTATCTTTCTTCTTTCACGTTGCTCTGTTGCTGTTGAGTGTTTATTCAATGATAAGTCTTTTATCTTTATTTTCTCTTTGCGAAGTAATGAAGCGGAAGCAAATATGTTCAGCATTTTTTATCTGTCAGTGCTTTGTAACTTCAGGTATCAGTTGATGCAGAAAAGTGTTTTTGTGGCATTTTGTGGTTTTCTGACTGTTCCATATTATTTTCAAGCTAGATAAGATTACATTTGGATTCATTCAAGTGACTTTTTCCTTTTCTCATCCCAATGATTCCTCTGCCAGCGCCTCTGTGGTCAGTGGCTTCTCTCTGTCTGTATTTTATTGATCACAGATAGTTTATCTCAGCTCCTTCACTGAGCACAGCCTGCTGTGGCAGCTGTTACAGGAAAATCAAACTAAATGCAGAAACTGAACTATAGGTGACTTAAGTTCAAATGCACCAAATTCTGAGGGAGAAGTGCAGAGACCATCAGACACTAGTTCTTCACATATTTATCCTTCTAACCACCTTTGCATGTCACTTTGTCAGTTTACCTAAACCTTTTCCTCTGGGTTTCTACTAGTGTTTTAGTTCCCAAGACCACTTTTTGATGGTATCATCTCATACTAGATCACATTGAACTTGCTCTTGTCTCGATCTCAAACACTGAGGACTTGGGATTTTATTTCAAGAGCAGTCAAGACCACAACTGTAAATATCACTAAGTTGTTGTCCAATTTATTTAACATTGTTGCTTCCACTGGATATAAAACGTCCTGATTCAAATGCAAGCAATAATGTGACTCATGACTAATCAAGTATTTTTGTACTGCTCCCACTCATCCCCAGCCACTTTCACTCTCACTCCAAAAAAGTGAGCAGTGGTTGTCTGAAAGTAGGAGGGGGTGTTGGTAAAATGTTCAGGAACAGTATTTGGCCACATTAATCATAAATAATATTGTAAAACAACATCAACAACCTCCAGAAGAAAGCATAGAGCAAATTATAAATTCTGCAGTTCATCGCTGTGAGAAATGGTGGCCACAACATCAAACTCTTATCGTCACTTAGGAAGGAAGCAAAAGTTCTGTTTAAGTCAGTGTTTCTCCACCCTGGTCCTCACCGCCCCCCTGCTCTGCATGTTTTAGATGTGCCTCTATTCCAGAACAGCTGATTCAAATGATTGCATGACCATCAGGTACTGCAGAAGCCTGTTAATCACCCAGAGATGCAATTCAGGTGTGGCAGAAG